TCTTTGGAACTGATGGGAGATGAAACCATGAAGGAAAAACAGGAGCAAATTGTGGCTCTTACTGTTGCCTCTTCTAATGCTCTTGAATTTTGAACTTAAAAGTGTCTCATTTAAGTAAATTCTCAACAAAACCATCAAGTTACTGAGAGATAAACTATGGGGTTATTATTCATCTTTCAAAAAGAAATAAAAGTACATTTTTTCAAGTAGTAAGGATTCCTAATACATTTAAAACATTATTTGCTTTGTAAATTTAGATTGACATGCAACTTTTCAGGAACCCGTGGATTGTAAACAAACTATATCTTTACTGGTGTGAGTGTCACCTCACCTGCATAGTTGGGAAAGGGAGGCCAGAGGTGTTTTTTCTACTGAGGGAAATATATTTGTTTAAGAGGCTGATGAGATGGCTAAAATGAAATGTTAATAGATCTTATTTGCTTATGCGCTGAGTGCTTGGGAACTCTTTAACTACTGATTGCAAGGATGCAGGCTTTGAACTTATATTCCTTCTCTGGGTTCAGAATTTGAAGGTAAAAGAGTTTTAATTACAAATTCCTTGGCATCATTACACTTTGGCTCCATGTACATTTTCCTATGTAAGTTCCAGGTATTCTCTGTATTTTTTTAACTTTTAATTTTGAACACATTTTAGACTCACAGATATGTTGCAAAACAGTACAGTTTCCATGTATTTCTCACCTTGCTTCCCCTAATACTAACGCCTGCATCAGCATAGTGTGGTCAAAGCCAGGAAATTAGCATTGTTTTCATACTATTAACTAAACTAAAAACTTTATTCTAATTTTACTAATATTTATTTATTAATATATACTAAATATTAGTAGTATTTCCACTAATGTCCATTTTTGTGCCAGAATCCCAGCCAGGAACCACATTGCATTTAGTTATTGATCATTAGTTTCCTGCACTCTTTGACCATTCCTCTATCTTTTCTCTTTCTTGTCTGCTTTTTTTTTTTTTTTTGTCTTTGTAATGACCTTACCACTTTTGAAGAGGACTGATTGGTTATGTTGTTGAACATCTCTCATTTAGAGTTCGTCATGATTGGACCTGAGGTTATGCATTTTTGGCAAGACTACCTCACATACTATCTCGTGTCCTTTGCTGGAAATCATATCACATGGTTTATGGTTGTGAACATGTCATCGCTGGTGATGTTGACCTTGATCACTTGGCCAAGGTGGTTTTTCCTTTGTACTTTGACCCTAATAGCTAATCATTATCTCTTGTTTCTGACAAATAACAAGGTAACAGAGCATGAAATGGGGAGCTGGAAGATAACTTGGAGACCATCTTTTGTAAACCCCTCCTTTTATAGTTAAGCTTCCAGAAGATCCAAGAGGGTAACCGCTTATCCACAGGTCACCAAATTACTTAATGTAAGAGCAGTAACATGACAGTTCAGTTTCAGGCCCCCAAAATGACTATTCTGTGCTCAGCACATGAAATTTACTTAGCCTCAGTTTTACTGTATAAAAAAGCTAAAATGACTATATGAATATTCAGCGAACTTTTGGTCAAAACTTAGAATCAGACTAAAAGCAATCACAGCTAGGTACATACTCCACAGTTCCTGGTGCCCGCTCACAAGGCTGGCCAGGGCTGAAAATCAGATGTACCTCTGTATCAACATCTCTGAAATGAAAATAATTCTCCTGGAATGCTCCACATAACACATAGGGAGCAACAACAAAAAACCTACTTGAGATTTTTAACAGAAAAAGGAGATTTGTTTATTAATAATTCATGAGTTCCCATTGAACATGCACGACAGAAACAGTGCTATTCAATAGAGAATACTGTCATCTGTCACTGTTTTATTTGACATTTACACTTTTTTTTTTTTGCCTGATACTGCAAAACTTTCTTGGATGGCATGCAAAAATTATATAAATGAAAAAAATCCCAATTTGGGGACTCTATCTCTTCTGTGATGGGTTCATTCCCAATTCCTTGCATGTGTGTTCATGTAACAGTGTGGCACTTTCTCACACAATCATTAGCCACCAAACAAGCTAGTAAGAGACCCTATTGAGAAAACAGAGATAAGCATCCCAAATGGGCTGGGGGAAGGATCATGTGAAGAAAAAGATGGAGGGCGAGATGGCAAGTGAGGTGGAAGAATAGATTTCCGCAAGATAAGCACACAAATGTGCGGAGTGAGCAAGTGAGTCTGAGAGAATGGAAAGCAAATCATGGCTGCCGTGAAGCAAACTGACAAAAATACATTGCCGTTTCAGATGCAAAATAAATATTTGTAAGTGACATCATGGGAGCTCCACTAGTAGGGAATATCGGCATTTAGTAGAAGAGCAAGTCAGAGTCAGGAGCACCTCGCAGCTTTGTGCTACTGTAAGGCTCTCAACAATATTTCTGCTCTGTAGGTTAGTTATTATTTATAAAAATCACAGAACCAGCTGATACATTCATAAGCTAATTATTGAAGCAGCTGGGTACACATGGTGCAATATGTCCAAGGCTGTGAAGTATCACAGATTTCTTGGGGCCTGCTGTGGTGGGGGTGCACTGTTGAAGGCTCCATCCCTTAATCTGATCAGCCAAGCAAACACTTTGTGGGGAAACTAGATTAATAACCCTCTAAATACCATGAATGTGCTTCAGCTTCAAAACTGGGTTCCCTTAAACATGCTATTAGCTCAGCTCCATCAGGGATTTGAGGAAGTTCTCTGGTGCCCTAAGAACAGGGTCTTGTTGGCTACCTTCCTGTGCCAGAAATTAATTTGGTTTGCTTATGTCTGCACACATGATCACACTTGTGTCTAATCCGCTCCCTAATAGCTTCAAGGTCAGGACCCTGCATGTCAGTGGGCAAATTGAGCACTAGACTGCTTAAAGACTGATGGCAGACAGCACACAGTCCATAACGAGGCCTGTAGTTTGTTCTAAGTGATTGTAATGAGTGCAGATTATAACAGCGCATATAAATCAAATGCGGCAATGCATGTTGTGCGAGACATTCTGAGTTTCATACGTGGAGATCCCACTCAGCTGTCACCTGTCTCCTTTCAAGCTGCGGCTTCCCACAATGCAGTTCACTCCTCATGCGGAACAGCAGGTGCTGTCCTCCTTAAGGTCTGAGTAGCTCAGAACGTCATCTTTTAACAGATGTAGGTTTTTGTTTTTATTTTCTGTTAAATGATTGGCCGCCGTGCTGTAGTCTCCCCTGGGAGATGTTAAACATACCTGTTTGAAACATTTGAAAGAGTTCAGTTGGAGACTTATTCAGATCTGCGAAAAGACAGAGAAATAGGAGCTTATTTTTTCCACAGATGGTTTATTTTCCATTTCAAGAATTCTTTGCTCTGTACAAAGAAACCCTTGAGGGAACACTTGGGGACTAGGAGTTTTTTGTTTTGTTTTGTTTTGTTTTTAATATTATTTACTATCTGATAGGGATAAAAAATCCATCATCTTCAGTTTTCATATAGCTTGCACCTTGAAAAATCAGCCATTACCTGTCTCTCAATTGAACTGGAAAAAAAATCTATGAAAATACTTGGAAAAACATTTCCAAGCAAATGATGAGATATCTTGTTTTCATTCTTCCTAACCCTCTAACTCTCCCCAGCTCCCAGTTTATTGCAAGAAAAGATCAGGTCTGCGCAAATGTGGCCTCTCACTTGTAAAAACAAGGCAGTGTTGTGTTACAGATTAGTTTATAAATCCCCAGTGGCTTCACAGTTCAGTGCCTACAGCTGCTGCAGATGGGCCTGGGTTTTTGTCTCTTCGCGGTGCTGCAGCCGGCAGTTGAAGGAGAAAATGGAATGATCAGGTTATTAACATGGAGGCCGCGAGGAAGAGGCTGCACAATGAGAACAGCTGGTGTTGCTGTCTTGGCTGATGCAGCGGAGATAATCAAATCTTGCCTTTTTTGGGGGAAAGGCAGAAGACACAGTGGAGAGTTAGACAAACAACAGCTTCTGATATTATAAGGGGATTTTATAATGCATGTCAGGAACTTTCGTTGGCTTACAAGTTATGATATGGAATTTGTTGAGGTTCGGGATTTATTTTTTACAAAGTCATTTGTGTTTACTTATGCACCTTTTTTAGAAAAATTCTTACTTGTTTTTGCGAGAGGCGTGATGTGGGACAGTTCTTATTTTTAAAATTAGCGACGTAGCTTGGAAATGATGGGTTAGAAAGCTACTGGGTAAAATATTTTGACATGAGTCAGTGAGCGATGTTGACAGCATCCTCTGTATTATTTTCATATAATCCATCATTATTTGCATTACATTTTCTTTCTCGTGCAGTTGCGAGCGAGAGAACATCCGGATGCCAGAGTTGGGAGGCAGACATTTGCAGGTGTGACCTGTCCAAGTGCCTACCTTCCTGCAGGTGTGGCTGTGGCGGGAAGGTGATGGTTTAGGAGGGCCCAGGGCCCGAGGCATTCAGAGATTGAGCAGATCGACACTTTTCCTCATTCTAGCTAAGGTTGTTCTGGAGGGGTTATTGATAACTGTGAGGCTGTTTCCTCCCTGGAGAATTCAGTGCTGTTTATACATAGGCATTTTTCTTCTTCTTTAGAATTGGCCATTTTGTAATACCTGTTTGTCCATTTCACCTCTTTCTTGGAATAGACTGCTATCCAATTGGGTAATTTTTAAAAATTGTAGCTGACCAACATGAATTAATTTTTCTGAGGATTGGACAGCTACCATCTTCCTTGAGTATCTTTCACAAAGGAACTGTAAATTAATTGAGAGTATGTTCGATAGGAAGGGTGACAAGATAATCACTAGACTGACGACTCTCAGGCGTTGGTGTACCTACCTCCATGGGGCCGTTGGTTTGTTCTCACAGTTGTCAGGCTGTCTCAGTATCTCCCCAGTTTGGTGGGAATAATTTTGACATAAAAATATGATAAACTGGGATGGTACCTGACTGCACTCAAGCCCCTGCTGCTGCTCTGCACTCAGCAGTTTGACTCAAGTGACCGTGTCTGTTTCCAGGGCTGGCTGTGTGAACTGCTCCGCTGGAAGGAGAACCCCAGCCCAGAAAACCGCACCCTCTGGGAGAACCTCTGTACCATCCGTCGCTTCCTGAACCTTCCCCAGCACGAGAGGGATGTGATTTACGAGGAGGAATCAAGGCATCATCATAGCGAGCGCATGCAACATGTGGTCCAGCTTCCCCCTGAGCCGGTGCAGGTAAGCATCCCCTTGTCCTCCGAAAATGAGCAGGGCTGGTGGTGCCAGCAACTGTTGAGGGTCAGAGGGGCACACCACACCATCTCCCCTCAGAAGATATCTCATGCCATGTCCCCAGGGACAGAGGGCTCCGTTTTCACAGTGGGCATATTGTGTGTGTGTGTGTGTGTTTATGTGTGTATATGTATGCATGTGTACACGTGCACACACACACACACACACACACACACACACAAATGACTGAGGCATCGATTCTGAAGGCAGCTGCTTTCCTGAGAGCATTTTACTTGTGGGGTTGTGAAGCCAGAGACTTGATGGAGAATTAAATCTACCAATTAGAAAATCTAGTTCATAGTTCCCATCAGTTCATTTTCTGAAGAAAAAACTCTGAAGTAGCCAATGAATTGATACAAAATTCCTCAAGGAATATTTCACTAGGCTGAGGAAAAAGAAATATCCACATGAGCTAGAGAATACCACTGAATCTCAGTTGAACCTTTGAGAGAAAGTGTGATGGAGTCTTAGAATTTTAAGATGAGCTCTTGCTGTTTTGGATTCCCTCTCTTTTAGAAATCTGTCTTCATTTGGGTTGTGTAGATTCTGCTTAGATTTGATATCATTGAGAGAAATAATATTTCTTTCTAAGAGTGACTGAGCCTAACTACTGACTCTTGCTGTAAAATCAGTTACTTTAGGGAAGAAGTATTAAGGAGGGTTTCTAAGGTTACGCCCCTTCGGGCTGTGCCGCAAATTGTTCCGGTAGGCCACGAGATTCGTCCTACCGCCCAACATCACCAATCCCAACGGCCACCAAGGACGCTGCTTTAGGGCCCTGTCTGAATCTCCTTTTGTGTAGCAAGAAGAGGAAAGGTGAGGCAGGAGTGCAGGTCTGTGTGCATGTGAGTGTGAAGAAGGGCGATGAGAATGAGGGAAGGACAGGGCATGGTTTCTTGATCAGATATCAGGAGAGGTGGTGAAGGACGGGTGAAATCCTCTCTTTGAGCTATCCTGTCTCCTGGCCCGTTGCTCTACCCTCACATGCCTTGGTGGAAAAGCCAGAAGTCAGTGGGTCCATTATATCATTTTTTATCCAGATATTGACATCTCAGGCAATGCTCTTGTTGGTTACTGCCCAAAGTCACAGAGTGAATCGCCCAGATCAGACTCAAGAGTTGGTAGAGCTATAAGCACCACAGGAGTCTCTTATAATATACACAGTGAACTCAGAGTGTGGGGGTGACAAAGGGTACTTGGTTAATAAGTGGCAGAGCCCGCTCTCCTGGCTCTGGGCTAGTGCTTGGGTGACTCATTTCTCAGAGGTGAGCCCAAGCTTATGCTTTAGGATCAGCCTCTCTCTTCAGTCTCTTGTCCTTTCCTGGCTAGGGCCACATCCAAACACCAGGGCACCTCTCTATAGATAATTAGGTCAGCACGCTGAGTCATATGGATTTTGAGATTTAGTAAAAATTAAAATTACAAAGGGGGCCCATTATAGGTTCACCAACCTTTAATTTTAGAAAATAAATTTATTCAAAAAATTCAAGGGAGGCTCCCATTTATTATTCATGTTTCATATGATAAAATATTCTTTAATAACAAACAGATTAATGAAAAGGAAAACCTCAGACAAAAAAACGTCTTGCAAACATATACATTCAGTCCTATGAAAAACCCACTATCATCCCTGTTTTTCTCATTTTGATGTGAATTGATCAGAACTTCTGTGTTGAACCAACACAGGGCCAACAACTAGCTTCAGGAAACCACTGACTTTGTGTGGACTTTTCATTCAGGGTCCATCTTAGTCAATCCAGGCAAGGTAGAAACAGAGCAGAAGTGAAACGCTGATTTATCATAGACATTAATAGCATTTCTTTTTCATTATAGGACGATGACAGAGTTGACAATTTAGAGAAGTTTGAGATAAGAATACTAATACCTAATTCTTCATTAAAATGAGGACCTCCCCTGATCTGGATGATGACTCCTGTATATTTGTGTCTCCACTCTTTGTCCAGAAATTCTCATCTCTGTGAGGTCCCTGCGTTTAGGGAGCTAAAAGGATATTCAACATAGTATTTTGAGTATTTTGCCTTTCAACTGACCAGTCTGAGTAAAGTAAATCTTAGAAGCAGACAGCCAATTTATTTATGATTTTTATTATGTTTTATGTTAGTATGTCAGAACTAGAGTGTGCTAACAATATTTAATGGCTAAGAAAGAGTCAGTCTGTAATTTTCCTTTTCAGTTTTAAGCACTTTGTGGCTATTAACATTAACTTCTGACATCACTAAGAGAATTCACTTGTTTTATAAAAGGTTACTTCTATCACTCAGCTCTTAGCTAAAGAGTTTACAAATAAGGTAATTTTCTTTACGTTGACTTTGTCTTAGCCATTGACCTTGATCCCACAACTACTGTGAAACTCTTCAGTACATTCCCTTTTTTTTTCTTTTTATAAACATTGTGCCTGTCTCTCAGTGATACCCCTTTGAATGCTGCATTTATGTTTCTCGGTAAAATACAAAGCTTTGGGTTAGTTCTTTATTACAGTTGTGATACGAAAAATGAAGAGAACTTGAACTCGCCATCAGACTGGAGTAGAGCTGTCACAGCCTCTGTGACTTGAGAAGGACTGTATTCAGAAAGATCCCAGGCTACTAAAATATGCCTGCAGCTGTCCAAAAGTTAAGGCTCTGGACTCAGGGTTGGAATTCACTGTGCACTCACATCCACTAAAATTTTAGGAAGATGTAATTGCTTATGTGTTTTAAGAATTTAAAAATTTGCATGTTGGTAATATTAGTTTGGTGATGTTACATTTTGTCTAATTAGGCAGAAAATGCGGCATTATTAAACTGTTAAGTATAGGTGAGATCAGTGATTATTAAGACTCTCTGGTATATGCACAGAAGTCCATCCCATTTATGGTCATAGAAGGTGCCATTTAAATTTCTTTAAGTAGTTAGGGTACACTATTCCCCAATGTTTCTTAAAGTATAAAGATATGAAGCAGTGACCTTTGCACATAATTACCCACCACGTCGGTCTGTCAAATTACAGCTCCACTGGACAAAAGGAGCTTGGAGTCACCCCCTCACCATTTGGTGCTTTCTGTGATGTCAAGATGCCCCTTAGAGTCACAGCCTCTTTCCTCACCCAAGGAAGGAAATTATTCTTGCCTTCTCTTTGCAAATAGTTTATTAATTGGTAGTCTTATGTTGCATGCAGATGTGTTTCTTTTTTTAAGCCCATGAAAGTTTTGAAAAATTTAAGCCCACATTTAGAAATTAGAAGATTTCGCTTAAAATCCAGATTGCAGGTGACAATCCAGAAAATCAGAAGATGTGACCCGCTGGGCCACACGGCGGGGCTGACACTCTGTGCAAGGCACACACTCGCCATCCTCTGCAAGAGCCCCACGTGCCGCCTGCTGTTTCCGCACCCATCCACTTAGTTCACTTAGGCCACTCCTGTCACATCATTCTGTCCCGGTGAGGCCAGCTGGCCCCGTGACTCCTGCATCCGAAGCTGCCGCACCAAAGCCGTACATGCCTTTGCCCTGTGGTTCTGATTTCTTCCATGGTAGCCACTGTGTGCCATCTATTTGTATAATTCTAACACCTGACAGAATCCTTCCCATGCTTACCAAGAAGTGCACACGTGAAGGCATTTCCCTTCAGAGGTGAAGCTAGGTTATAGCTGGGCTTGGGGTCCCTGAGAGGTATTGTCAGCCACAGAGGCTTGGGGGTCCTGGAAGAAAGAAACATTTTTTTCCTTATGAATTCAAATCTCTCCAGCTGGTATAGATTTGATGCCATATTGAATTATCCGGTTTCTCCAGTTTTCTTCCTGGTATTCTCAGCTTCTTCAGAAACCCCCATTTAAGTCCCTGCTGTCTGGGAGGTGACTTTGCAGGCTCTGAACACGCCTTGTAAACTAGACCCACCTACACTGTGGATTCTCAGTGGGGCCACACTGCCCCAGGGAGTAAAAACTGATTCTTGGGGAGCATAATAATCGTCAGTTTCCAGTTGTTTATGGGCCTCCAAAGGGACATAGTACATAAAGGGATATTCTGTATATCCGATATTAAAATTGCATGACGTGGGGGAAATGATTAGGAAAAAAATGCCTAAAAAGGCTCCTTTGGGGAATAATAATGAAAAAAATGTTGCAAGATGCTAATATACATAATGTTTCCAGTGCATGTCTACATAATACAAAGAAGACCATCATAAGTGAGATGAGATGGTATGATAGACTAAAATGTTCCATGAAAAAGATGAAATGAATTCCAGTTTTCACACCAAAAGGTTGGAGACAAAATTGTTTCTTGTGGTTGCAGCGATTTTCCCCCTAGTGGTTATTATGACCCGAGGCCCTGAAGCGAGTGGACAGCCTCAACTTAGAATCAAAAACTAGTTAGGTTAGGGTATTCATTATTACCAGCTCCATTTTACAATTGGAAAACTGGAGCAGAAGTGTAGAGCTTTGCCTGAAGCCAGGATTGCCAGCTGAATGAAAACACAGGCGTTTCTGGCATCCAGTCTTTCCTCTGACCACACTTCTCTCTTAATGCAGCGGAGGAGAAAGGACATTGCTCATGCTATGACTAGGTCACCGAGAGGGGCTGATTGGGGAGCATTTGCCAAATTGTTCATGTCTGTGTAGTTTGTGCTTTATTGCTTTATTATATTTCCACCACAGTGTTTCCATGGGTTATTTTATAAGTTCAGGAATTCTGAGCTTGCTGCTATGTGGTTTCCTGACAAGTACTTGTTTTAAAATTCCATGCCGTACGCTGAGTAAGAATGTGAGACCCGGTGGATGACAGCCGACACCAGCGTTAGACCTTGGCTCGTTTGGGTTGATGCCCACTCAGGGGATTCTCAGCATTTTCAAAGCTACTGAATCCTTGTCATTGATATCAACCAGTGGTCCTCAACCAAGGGTGACTTTGCCCCCCATGGGATCTTTGGCTGTGTCTGGATACATTT